ACTTCTTCGAAGGCATGACTAAGTGTTCCCTGCTGGGCTCCTGATAGAGAGAAAGATGCAGTTTCTTATTTCTTTCTCCAAACCTATTTTGTCATGACAGCATATCGACAGTCACAAAGTAAGACTATTGTTTCCTAGGCTCAGTTTTTTTCTGATAAATTAATAAACACTTTGTATGCAACATTAATATGAACACCAGCAATCAATTTTGTTGGTGGCAGAAGGTGTTTAGCATTATCAGTGTTGATACAACTGCCATGGCCTGCGGTTAGGACCACAGCAGTTAATAACAGCACCACAGTGGGTAACAAACACTCTGCATGCAGAAATTAAAATTCATGCTCAACGGCAGGGGGTTGAGGCAAGACTAGAGATGGAGCAAAAATTGATATTCAGCGATGGTAATAAAGGCCATTATCAGTACCAACAGGCTAAGGGGAGTTCAACACTGTAGCTCTGGGTCTTTCTCCATTTTGTTCCTTCCATATCTGGGTTCATTGTTCACCCTTTCCCCCTCATTTCTCTGGCAGTCTCCATTACTCTGTTATCAAAGCAGCTGTCAATATGCTGTTGCCTTTTTCTTACTACTCACTCATACTTTGTAATTCGAATTCATTTTGGATTCTTTATAAATTTGAGTTATCTTTTTCCATGTGTGAGGAAGGAGTTTGATAAAAGAACTAATATGAAATTCTTTCACTTGTTACCTCAGTTTTTGTTTGTGTCTCAGTGCATCCACAATCCACTTAGCATCCATTTATGTCATGCTTATGAGAGTTTCTGTAGTATTCATATCTCAGGTGAGCTATAAAAATCATGCTTAGTCTTGTTATTTCCATTAACAGGATCCTTTTCTTTCCCCCCTTCTTTCACTTCCATATTCTGGTCACATGTCTGCGTATGTTGGAGTGCTATGTCTGATGATGAGTCTTAACAGACTAACAGTCCTCTTAACAGAGGACTAAAACAAAATGATGAAAAATATGATAAGGTTGTGGTGGTGACTAACAAACTTGACTCAGTGATAATGTTGTGCTGTATACTTGACGTACACTATAAAAAACTATTTCTTGCTCAGAGGTTCACTGTATCAACCATTTTAAGGACAATATGTCAGTGCTGTGGGTCTAATAGCTAACTGGCTAATTGTTATGCAGCCCCAAGTGGCCATCATCAAATCAGTTTTTTTTTTTCACTGAATGTAAATAAAAATAGCTGAAGTTTGTGCTACAGCTGACTAGTTAACGCACTGCAGTCATGCTTCATCACGTAGATGTTTGTCTGGTAGCTTGTTCAGAAAACCAAAGTAGAAGAACATTTATTTGGGTTGTGCCTCAAAGTCTGTCACTCTTTTTGTGCCATGTTGCATCTTCTGCTTTTTGTCATTGTCATTTCAGTTGGTCACTTTATATCAGTCTGCTTTTTCTATTGAGCTGTTTTCTACTTTCTGTGTCAGGTCTGCATGTACATGTACAGTAATTTAAAAGGGACATGATTAGTTTCCATAGAGCATCCTTTTAGTCAGTGCCATCTCTACTGGCTGCCGTCCTACATGCTGTTGTCATACACTGATGCAAACTTCAGATCAAATTCATTTGTAAACCAATCAATCTACTATACAGATGAAGCTGAGCTGACTCTGGAATGAAAAAAACAATTCTTTCATTTTCTTGTGCACCAACATGCTTGAGTTTGACTCCAAGATTTAATTCTATTTCCTTTACCGAATGTTCCTCAAATGAATCTGACTAACTTCTCCTTGATGGAACCACAACCAAAAACAGCAAGCAGCGCTGCAAATACCAACATGCATAATCCCTGGAGCCTGTGCCTTAACTGCATTAATACAAATTTACAGGAGTCACTGATGTGTCCCAACATTAACCGTCTTCCTGTTTAGTCATGAAAAACAAAAAGAGATGAAACGTTATTCAGCAAGTGCTACCCCAGAAGTACTCAGATAGAGGCCCACACATGGACCCTAAAGTCATCATGAGGCTTGCAAGGCTGTTTCATCACAGCTCTTTCCAATATTAATTGTTTCTAAGAGCATTTTAGCGGAGGCGACTTAGCTAGTGAGAGACACTTTTAGACAAGGGTGAGACCAGGAGAACAGAGAAATACTCAAAAGTACTGCCAAAAATGGGTAGCATCTATAAACTAGCTTCAAGTGAAAGTAAAAAAAAAAAAAAGTTGTCACACTGTTATGACAGTATGCATGTGTGTGTAAGAGTATGCCAATATAAAACGGAGGAGAGTTAATGAATGGAGGGTCCACCTGCTGACATAATTAATACAGAAAATAGATTTGAACTTGATAAATACTGCTGAACAGCCTGTGTGTGATGTTAGCAGTTGCCTGGACACAGTCGGAGCTGGTGCAGTGACTCCTACTGTCTTCATTCACTCACCTACCACTGGAGGAAGACAGATGTTACCCTATGTAAATACACAGTAAACAACAAAAATGTAATGTTTGCTTACAGCAAAAAGATGAATTTAAACCAAAGGTAGTGTTGGTGATTCATTTCAGTAGCATTTTGTTACATTTCTTGAATTTCTCTTTTCATCCCAATGAATAAATTTAACACACTGACAACATAAAAAAACCATCTGTGGCAGCAGTGGGGCTGAAAAAAGTCTGACTAGTCATTTTTACTTGGTCCAAGCACAACCACTGGACGGCCTCTCTGCCTATCAGCCTAACTCCCTACCCTCTGCCCCTGCACATGCCAAGAGTCTCCCACAAGGCCAGGCAGGCAGACGTGATACCGATATGCTTTTATAGCTAAAGCTAGTGAGCTACGGTAGAGAAGGTAGCTACAGCAGCTTTCGGTAAAGGAGACCATATTCAAGAAAGTCTCAAGTAAAAAGAAGTCAGATGCTGCAAGGAATAAAACCATCAGTGTGACTTTTGAACAATGGCAACAACTGAGTGAATAAAAGGAGCTGAAAAATGAAGCTATGGCACCCGCATTCCGGCTGGACAGGTACTTATTGGTTTTGGGTTTTTTTTTGTTTGGCGGCATTTGTTATTGTCCTGAAATCTGTAAGTTGTCAGGCAGTGCATGTTGCAGTGTGTGTTGTGTTTTGGAGAGAAGTCAGAACAAAAGGGTAGGATTTCTTCAGTTGTCTACTTCTAAAATTCAGCTTCTTCTGATTTTTCCAGGAATGCAAACTACGGTATACCTTTACATTTAAATGGGAAGCAACTGTTACAGATGACAGTAAACGTTGAGATAAATAATATGTAGTAAACTAACATGACGTGCTTGTCTAACAAAATGTTACAAAGACATATAGGCTACCTAATAAAGCAGTTACGAAAGTGATTGATCCACACATTTTTGCAGCTCTTTAATTAGAGCACAGTTATCAGTCTTATTCCTTCTATGGCTGCTGCCAGGTGGGAATTAGTCTACTAGCATGCATAGCATTAAAATGCCTTTCCAAACTGAATTGTTAAACATATAGTAGCACATCTTCTGGCATAGTAAGCACATCCTTTTACCACCAAAATAAGCTCACCTGTTGAGTGTTTCTTTTCTATTATGCAAACCTTTCTCATTTTGCACCCGTTCTCCCTCATTTGTCCCTTCTCTTCCTCTCCATGTTTGTGCTATGCTTGTCATAATTCACTCTGTGCCTCTCCTGTGCACACAAGATATTCGCACAACTTATCTGTCTGACTCAAAACCAATTACCCAAATAATATTAATTGCTTAAGGATGCTTTTGTGCAAAAACAGATGTATGGATACACACTGACCACGTGTGAGAGAAACACTTAGAAACAGAAATTTCCTCTTGTTGCCAGGGCAACTAAAGGAACAAATGCGGGTCACATTCAGTGGAGGACCACAACACACATACATAAACATATACAAATTTCTGCATACACTGTTAGTTGACCACATGACAGGAAAGAACATTTGACTGTTTTCACTCTTCTCTTCTGGATGTGAAAAAGTCAAATTAGTATATCTGGACTAGACATTCTATCATGACAAAAAATGTTAATTGAGAAGCAACTTGTGAAGGAACTGCAACCAGTTGACACTACAGAAATCACATTCTCCTCTACTCACTGGCAAAATATTCTAACATTAGTTGTACTCTGCTTCTAAAACCCCTTTGACAAACCCCAATAAACTGGTCTTTTTGGTCATGAAAAGTTGTCAGTTTGTTGATGTACAGTTCTACCTAAATAGCAACAATCTGCAACTCTAGATAAACTCATCGAGTCAGCATCCCTTTTCTTTGTCTTCTGCCTTTTTGGATCTGCTGCAGTTTCACTCAATTTCACGTCATTGCTTTTTCCCCTCCTCATTTCCTTTGTAGTTTACTTACCTTCTCTTGTCTGGGATGTCTGTTGTACTAACACACATGCAACCAAACCAACATCAAATGTGTTTGTGAAGGTGAGATGACCGAGCAAGTTTCTGCCCCTACATCATTGGAAATTAAGGGACCATTGGTTAAAACAAGATCAGGCTGCATACTGATCCACAGGCTACAGGTGGTTGGACCTACAATATCTCTATCTGAGGGGGTGGAGCTTGGTGCTGGAGCTCGATTTTTGCTGTGATGGAAATGTGGCATAGGATTTCTGTGCGTAGGAGGACCTCACATGGCATCAGTGGGGAGAGGCAGCAGTGAAAAGAAGCATGAGAAAGACAGAGAAAGGGAGAGACGATGACACAGTGAGGAGGAAATCTGACAAATGAAAAGAGATCAGGAGAAAAACTAGTCATGCTAATCACTGCATAAAAAATGATGAGAAGAGATGATGAGCTACATGTAGGGGAGCAGGGAGAGCTTAAGAGGGAGGTGGGATAAACAGAGAGACAGGATTACATTTAAAGCACAAGAAAAGAACAAACAGCCAAAGCAAAGATAAAAAGGAACTAGAAAGGAAGAAGAATGTATGATCATAATCCATCCTAAAGTCCCAGCACCAAGATCTCTCCTTCCCCAAAAAACACTTGTGGAAACACTTACCATGAACTGAACATTGTCAAATCCATTGGCCAGCAGGTGGTTCTCGTACTGGACCAGACCGATGGAGTCGAGCCACTGGCCCACGGACTGCAGTGGGCAGCGAGGACCTATGAGGGGGTGGAGGGGCAAACGCTTCAGTAGGGAGTAGCCATCCACACGGTAGCAGCGGCAATCCGGCTGAGACAACTGGCACTGCCACATCATGTTATGGCGGGCAAAGTGGCTGTCAAAAGAGCCCGCCATGCTTTTGAGGAGTCTTTTGGCAAGGCAGCAGGAGGAGGAGAATGAAAGGAGGGCGTGTAGAGGGGGAAAAGGTAAATAAAGAAGGAAGAAGAAAAGGAGGGGGTGGGCTAGGCTAGAGGCATGGTGATGATGGAGGAGGTCAGCATGCACGGGTGCAAGCAGGTAAAGGTTAGGTCAAGGCATCCAGATGATGCTTGCTCTGAATCCAGCCTGGGGGAGGATGAGAAGGAGTGAAGGCTGAAGTTATATCCACAGAAAAAGCTTCTGTTCTGGGGGTAAAATCCTGCCAGAGATGAGGGCTGGATGAGACTGGAGGTATAGATCCGCAAGCTAAAGCGACTGACTATGTTTGTCGCGCACAGCACAGTGGCCCCTTTCTTTTTCAGCTGTTGCGCTTGCTCCCTGCTCCCCTGAGCATGTGTGTGCGCGCGGGTTTGTGTGTGCGTAAGAGAGAGAAAGAGCGAGAGCTGCCTGTGCTGTAGATTTCTCTTCATCAAGTACTCCCACTCTCATCTGTATGCTCCTGCAGCCTCCTCTCTCTTTCTCTCTCCTTTCTCTGAGCGCTGCTTTCCTCCCTCGTTCCCTCACTCTCTCTCTGCCTCGTCCTCTCGCTCACTTTCTTCTGTCTTCCTCCCGTCTCTATCTTCTCTCAGGGTGTCGATCGTCACCCTGCTCCCTCTGCCACTCGACATATATCTGCCTCACTCTGCTGATAATAGCCAACACAAACGCTCCGGCTTCTTTGTCTGCAAGAAGCCAAGCTCCCTCCCACTCACCCACACACACTATGCTCACTGTATGTATGTAGCCACATCTACAGTATATGTATGTTTGTGGTGTGCTATGGCTATTTGACTGTTGGTTGGGGCATATAGCTGGTTTGGCAGAAACAGAATTTCTCCGTGTGGTAACCATGGTTAGCAGGGGCTTTGCATTCACAGATGAAAAGAGAGAGGGAGAGGGGAGGGGATCAGGAGCTGGAGGATAAGGGAGTGAACATCAGGAGAGGGGGATGAACGCAGTAAATGGAGATGAATAGTGGAGGATGTGAGGCACACAGGTGAATAAACTGGCAAAAATATAAAACAGAAACAAAATTATCTATATCTATATATATATAGATATATGTGCACTGATTATTAAATATGAAGTTGTTTTTTTTATATATATAGTTTTTAATACAAAAGACACTTACAGCACATGTTCAAGCAAGATAACAATTATTCTAATTTCATCATTTCTCCAGGGCTCCACCTGCCAGTTATTATCCATTGATTCTACATGGATCTACATTAGCAAACAAATATCTATACAGGAAGGTGCACCTACCTTAGGAACCCCCTACACTAATGAGATGGCTAGCTAGGGTTTTACTCCTATAAACTGGTCTAACTGAGCAGCAAACTCTCTTTATCACATACAAATTCATGTGGACTGTTGTTTATGTGTGGTGTCTTTGCTCATTGAACTTTAAAAAGTAGGCGAACTAGGCGAAAAACACAGAAAGTCAGTTAGCAAACAGGTTTTAAACAATGTCACAGTTGTTGTTGGTACCAGATCTGAGAACTTTGGCGAGGGGAGTTTTGTCACAGCATTAACAGCCAAAACTACTAGACACAAGTTGTAATAAATGCAAATTATCCATCACTTACAAATACATTCTTGTGTGTGTTTTACCTGAGGGGTCCTCTTTGATGTCCAATCCACTGCTTATTCCTGCCCCAATAGAGCTCATAATCTTGTCAATCTGAACAAATGGGAGAGAGAGGGGAGAAGAATAAGAGTTAGAGAGATGTTACAGCATGTGCAAGGAAAAATTATTTCCCAAGTAATAAGGCAAACCCCTGTAAGTGTCACATAACATGATCATTATGTCAGCCAAAGCGCTGAATGCCAGTCATTCCCTGTTTTGAATTGGGGACCCAGATGTGTTAGCAGGAAACTTGAAGAATGAGGAGGGAGATTGGATTAGAGGAAGGTACAGTGGCTTCACTGGTGTCTTGCTGCTGGCTGTCGACTGGTCATCCCTGACCCTGGTCCTGCTGCAAACCACTGAACTATGCGACCTATGCATCTATCCGCCTGTCAGGACCGCCGGCTCAGCACGGATCAGAGAACCCGGGCTTGCTGTAGCAGGTCCTAGACTAGTACTTGAAGGGCCAGGTCTGACAAATGCAAACAGTGTTTACAAGCTGACGGACCAAGAAGGTGGCCTCGTCTTTGGAGCGGGATAAACAGACAGCCTTTTCTGCATACTGTACTGTATGTCACACAAAGTACTAACTCACAAGTGCTTATATTGAACCTAAACAGTCACTTTCTACTGATAACAAAAAGTCATCAACGGTGATAAAACGGCACTATTCAGTGTTTTTACACTACTTGCAGTGCAGCAAATTATTATGTGTACTGTGAGAGTGGTCACTTGTACCAATCACACATCTTATCTACAGACCAATTAATAAAAAAAAAACTGTTACTTCCAAAGAGTTCACATGTTTTATCTTGTCACTTGTCACAATCCAACAATTTTGTTACAGACATATCTGAAGGGAAACTGAAGCAAACAGGACGCACCTGCTCTGTGTGCATCAGTAAAGACTGAGTACCTTTGTAAAGGAGAGATTTGAAGCTTTTGATTTTGGATCAGTTTCAGACTATTTAAAAACATGTTTTCACTTTATCTTACTGAATTACTGAGTTTAGACTGCTGAACAAAATGGCAATTTATCCATTTAAAACCGTGTCTGCAACACAAAAGTGTGACAAAAAGTGAGGGGGTCTGAATACATTCTATGGAATATGTTGCATTCTTTTAACACTTATTTCCTGGATTGCTAAAATAAAACATTGGTTACCATTCAAACAACCACAAACCATTTCAATGTTCCGGTAAGATAAAGCTAGATCGAGGCACAAATTTGTGACATATATTGCACTCCCTCTTTTAGCCTGTAGCACTAATGAGTATGGATGTCTTGGTATCACTGAGTGTTGTGGGACGTCCCTTGTGATTTGGCTCTTGCTACGAATGCAACTCTTTTCTGAGCGTGTGCTGCAAATACAGTAACTTTGTTATTTTTTCCTCTGAACTCCCCATATATCACTCCACAGTTTCCCTGAAGCTATAATATCTCATTCTCCAGTAGCATGCAATTAAACAGGAAATGTCACCTTAATTGCTGAGAATTATGGGAAATTTTATATGGTAATTCATCATTGTCACAAAGTTAGAAGGTGTTTGAAGAACAAATGAACGTCCACATGTAAATGTGAACAGGCTTGCACAAATCTAATTTCACTCATATAGATCAGCATCATTTTAAAAATAGAAAGATTAAGTCTCCGTCACTGTTACACACTTTTTTTTTATCCAGCAAAGTGGTGTGCATAACGGTCAGAGTGGTTTTCACTGACACACACTAGTGAGACGGTGTAAATATGGATCAGTTTGTAACATTGCATGCTGTCTCCGGTGTGAATGATGAGCAGTGGAGCAGAAGATAATGAATCTGTGACCCAAAGAGTTAAAGGCTGTCACATCTGTGTCAGAGACCCTTTAAAACCAAGGAAGCCCCAGGAACAAACACACTGAGAACAAAACATACAACATCCTTGACCTCCACTCACTACAATCTATAACAAAAACTCTGATATCTGCTCATCCCTGCAGCTCTGGTGCTAGTTACAAAGGAAAATCAATGCAGAAACATGATAAATTAGCACTGGGGCTCCTTGTGCATGAAATTAGCTGAATGGATTTCAAAGGGAGGAAAAACTGAAGCAGCTCACTGCTGTGCAAGCCAAGGCTTCGACGGTCCCCTGCAAAGACTGTTCACTTTTTCTCCCTCTGTAATATGCTGATTGATCCTAAATGTCTGGTAAAAAGCTAAACATGAAGCATTAAATATCTCCTCACCTCTTCCCACTCAGCAGTGAATGAAGGCGTTCTCTCTAGTCTTCCTCCTGAGCTTGTGCCCTCTCCTGTGCTTGGACAACCTGGCCCCTGGCCCCGAGAACCGGACCCCCAACTGTGCTCCTCCTGAATCAGATGAAAATAAGTCATTCTGTTTTGAAGTATTATTCAACTACAAGCAATAAGAAGCAAAGACTTCCAAACATTTTAAGCAAACATATACAGCATAACTGAGCTGTTTGGGGAATAACCCAGTCCTTTCAGTGGTCATCAATATTTCATCACTAAGGAAGCTATTTTCGTCAATAATGAATCCATTTTCAACAAAAAGACTATATATTTAGCTTACGACTTATTTACTATGAATGAATGGTACTTTATTGATCCCACAGTGGGGAAATTTCTGAATGAAGTCTCATAAAATGTGGTGCACAGCAGGGAACACTGCAGCTTAGATTAGTGAGTTAAATAGATGGGTGAACTGGTTTCTGTGCTGCTCCTGAAGCAAATTATATCCATGACTGCTTAATTTATACAATAGAATATTTATAATAAATTCATTTTCACTGCCAATGGAACTTGATGCAGTCCTAAACACATAAAATGATAAACCTTTAACTATTAATAATATATTTTTCAGTTATTCTTGGTCTTTTCCATAAATGTGTAATTAGGGCAAAGCAGTATCAGGGAAAAAAAAACTTTCATAATAAAACTGAAATGCTGGCCTTTATTTTATAAATCATGTTCTCATTAAAGCTTTGATTACACGTAGAATGAGACATTTTAGACAGAAACTCTCAACATGACATCAGCAACAACCTACCTGTATGGGAGATGCAGCTACCAGGTTGGAATCAGATTTGGACAGAGACTTGGAGAACTGCAGCTCCAACACACTGCGTGGCACAGACCTCATCCTCCCCAGTGTGCAGGCCCTCTCTTCGTATCCAGTCCCAGATGAACTGCCCTTGTGCACACCTCCTGTCTGGATCCCCCGTAACTCAGAAATATCTCCGTTCTGGCCAGAGGAGTAGGAGGGTGGATCCACCTGCTTGCAGTTCCTGGGCCGAACCTGATCCTGGTTGACCTTGGTGTGAAAGATAGTCCGGTACACCACCTGTGGCTTTTGGGGGTCGTTAGCAGTCGTCTGAGGTGACAACTCACTTCCTGTCCTGGAGAAGACCTGAGTGGACCCTCCACCAATCACAATGTTGAACTCCGGGGTTTGCAGCAGGCTGCTCTGGATCTCTGTAGATGTATATTTGCGAGATTTGGGGCTGTAAAGATGGTACGGTGTGTGAGGGGTCTCACAAGCTGGGGAAGACCCATGGAGGAGGCCTGCAAACTCCTCTGGGATGTGGCTCTTCCTATGCTCCTCCACCAGAGTATTTGATGTGGAGGAAGAGCAGACAGAAGGAGGCAGATCTCGCTGGTAAGGCCCGTCGTCTGCGAGGAAGACAAAACATCAACTGATTAGGATTAAATCGTACAGATTTGTATAAAATAGTTCTGTCAAAACACAATACACACTACTGAATTTACTCTGCCATAAGACAAGACACAGATCACAAATTTACACACACTGCACAAAGTACAGAAACTAGTGTTTGAATATGCCAAGCTAAATGCTAAGTACACAACAGAACAGAGAGAGAGCAAAGCATTGTGGCTAAAAAACAAACTGAGCAAAACAACCAAAGCTGTAAACAGGAAGATAAGAACGAGGTCATTCATCTTCTGCTTCTCTGTAGAGAAGCCGTTTGTTTCTCCAAAGAGTAACAAAAGAAAC